TGTCCTCTTTAACACCTTCTACATTTGAATATATTTTCCCATTAAGATGGTGTTGCAGCGAATGAAAAAGATGGAAATCTGATAGTGCCATATTCTGGAGAATATGGTGGGTGGAAGAGAACTTCCCAACCCAACTCCATAATCTTGTGTTGCACCAAGTGTGAATGTGGACGTGCATTATTGTGGAGAAGAAGAAGAACACCTTTCCGATTGACGAGCGAAGGGCAATTCTGTCCAAAAATGGTTCACGAGCATTACATGCCAGAAGAGACGAAGCAACGTTCACACGTTGGAAATGATCATCATCAGAGAGTTTGTGAGGCACCCAAACACCTTCTTTATGGACTTTTCCCATATTCTTTAGATGTTTATGTATTGTTTCATGAGAGATATGCAATTTCAGGGCCATTTCACATGTGTGCTGTCATGGGATAGACTCGACAAGCATCTTCAGTGCATCAATATCAATTCCCACATGTTGGCCCTTGCCATCACAGTTTTTAAGGCTAAAGTCACCTGAACAAAATTTGTTGAACCATTGTTGACACTTCTTTGTGGCTACAGAGGCTCTGTTTCCCTTCTTGTATTCAAACAGCATTACATGCCGAATGTGTGTCTCATCGTGTGCCATCACTATAAGGGATTAGAATATACTAAAGTTTACACGTTATATAGGGTACACTAACATGACGTTTAGGCAGTCCATTTAACTATTATATGTGATGCACATTTTTTGGGGGATGGTTATTAAAAGTGTTCCAAAACGCAACATTAATTTCTTGACGACCTAATATTTTGATAACAATGTGTTAACTAATTCAGTTATACACACTGATCTACTGTTACCTGCCCACTTCTATCTAAGGAGAAGTTTCTTAATATTTTTATATAAAAAACATTAAATTACAGAGAGTTAATGAATCAAAATGATCAAGCTGAGTAAAACCATTCACGATATAATTAACCAACACAATTACTGCATAATTCTGTCACCACTCAATCCTCTGTGGAAACACCTACTCATATTTAATATGAATAATTGCTAATCCTATTTTTTGAACACTTTATGTAGAAAAACATTAAAATATCCTCCTCATTCTACTTTAAGAAAGACTCAAAACAGTTCACCTTATTGGAATAAAATTACTCTGGACATAATTTATTGTTAATGACCAAGTATTGTTATGTCAGGTTGGTACAGAACTACGTAAAGTGCCACGAGATTGATGTGCTGTTATTTTTCTTCATTGCTCAATTTTGCTTATTATTTTTATTATTGTTTCTTTTATAAAAAAAACATTTGTTGTGTTTTTGGTGGATTACTTTGCAGAACTACATTCCTTCTCTCTCTTCATGCTCTTTATCAAACCTGAAGCACTATAAATAGCATCAACTTGTGTAATCTGTTTTGACTGATTTATTCATAAAGCTTTAGTTCTAGAGCTTTTTTTATTACCAATTCAAAACAAGATATATGGTTTAGTTGAGTGTGAGGCTGTGAAGAAAAAAAACTGGAAAAGCACTCACAGAATGCAACCATATGCTGCATTATTTTGCCATAAAAATTTCTCAACCTGTAAAATGTAGGTCTAGGTACAAAAATCCTCCTTATATTTCAATTTTCTTCATGAGTTTGATAATTTTTCAAAATCAAATCCCAATATGTTACTATTTTAGCAAAAATGATTGACTCTGACCATTGGGCTACATTCATCAAAAGTTAATAAGCTGGACTTTGGAGTTACATAACCTTTGTACCACATTTGATCAAAATCAGATGAAAACGTTTTGTGCTATATTGTTCACAAACACACACAGAAGTATAAACAAAACCCATGCTATGAGGTATTTCAACCATGTTCTATGTAGCCCAGAGAGATTTATTGGGAAAAAACTTAATTAAAAGTATGTATGAGATAATCCAAGATGAAAAATATTTATTCCAATTTTTCAATGTTGCTGATGAATGACAGTCATCACAGCAACCTCACACCTAAACAATTTAAAATTGCAAGTAATCAGAAAATTAAATCAACAGCCCAAGTGCTTTTCAGAAAGTGGACTTTCTAAAAGCACTCAGGTTATTGGGTTTCTTTTCTGATGCTAGCTTTTCTTGTTGATCCTGCATGCTTTGGAACATCATGAATACAATCACAATGCATTACTGATTTTTAAGTGTATGCCTTGTTTTTAATTATCCCTTGTTTACTTTATGACATTTGAAATTGCATTTGGAAAAAGTTCATTTTAACTCTCAAAACACAAGGTCAGTCAATTTGACCAACCACGTGACCTCTTTGTATTCGTTTAAAGTTTTTATAGATTTAGTACTTCTAACTTTCAATATAGTGTGTATATCTTCACAAAATTTAGCAGTCTTTCACATACAAAAAAAATCACATTTTTTTAGTGAAGTATTTTTAATAAAATAAAATAATGATTTGTCCATGAATATATTGAATATTTTTTTTGAATAGTCAGTGTGAAAAGTAATTTTCATGTTAAAATTAAAAATACTTTCCTCATCTCAAAAATCTCAAATTTCCTTTGTGTAATCCCCGAAACCTCCTAAAGGAATTTCAAACGTGTTTTTGGCAGTAATACTTTATAGTTTATCTGTTATTTTCTCTACCCTATCTCAAAATGGGATCGGTCAAGTCTTCCAACCTTGTAATCACACACACACACACACACACACACAGAAGAAAAAAAAATCGAAATAAACCAAAATTACCCTTTTTTCTTATTAGAATGACTTCAAATTGTAACAAAGTACATTCATTTATCCTAAGTAGCTCTAAGTTCGTAACAGTATACATCTATTTATAATTAAGTTTTCTTGTTTTATTGCCCTTTAAACCATGTCTAACTACTATCCATGCCATTATAAGTTGCAAATCACTCAGTGAATGTGCAGCTCATGTTACGCTAACGAATTACATTACCCACGAGCTGCTAACATGTGTGCCTCATGAAACACTTTTCTATGGTATTATTATTAAATATTTAATCTAATCTAATGTTAACAAACCTAAAAGGATACCTATTTTTACATTTTAGTTACTTTTATAATTATACATAAAGAATAAACATGAAAAACAAAAATAAAATTCTTAACCAATCTTCTTTTTTCTTGCTGTCAGTTTTCGAAAAGAGTTAACCCTAATTTTTATACTAATGATGCACTTAATCAGTTTTATTTAATTAAATAATGCATCAAAGAATATAGAAAAATAACATGAAAAAAGTAGACAAATTCACTTACCTCTTAAAATTTTTCTGGCTTTCTAATCATGCAATAAGAGCCATTACAAATTCATCCAAGCTAGTCACTAACTTTCTCAAGTTAACAATATTGGTACTCTGAGGGAAATTGACATCTAACTGTTCAGAATATAACATTATACAATACGTCACTTGATAGACAAAAACCTTGACTTTCTATTGGTTATAGGTAATATATAATGAAACTTAAGAGAGAACTATCAACAAATTCTTAAAGAGAGGATGTGACAGGTGGGTGTGGCAGGAGGGGCCTAATTTTCTATTTGATAGCACTGTAACCAAACAAAATTGAAGACCATAAAAAATATGGTTTGTCTGAGCAATAACAATTTTATAGAGAGTAATTTAGGTTTAATTTCATAGGGATGATGACATGCTAAGAGAAAATGTGTCAGGTGGGTCACACTAGTGGAAATTCAGGACTTTTTTTAAATATTGCCTTGTAGAAATAAGAACTTAAAACTTGTATAATATTAAAATATGGATTATTAACTAACATGCTATGCTATTCTAATTGGTATAACATAAACAAAATGTAGTTTAATAAAATTTTGAATGTAAGACACAAAAACCTTGTGTCATGCACAATAAAGGATATCCAAGGCGATAGGGTTAATAGGACTTACAGAATCATATAAACAGTTATTATCTTTAGCAACTGAAAACTATAATAATTTTTTTTAGCCAACACAAAACTTAAAATCCAGAAATTCTGACAAATGGTTTAGAAAAGTTTCTATAGATAGTCCTTGGTCTAGTTTGTTGCTTGTTTAGTTGAGTGGCCACTTTTATTGCAAATTTGTCATAACATAAAATGGTACTAGTTCTGAGAACATGGCCTATAAACTTTACAAGTCCAATATTATGCCCTAAACACTTACATAAATGCAACTGCAAAGCTTAAAAAATATATATTATATATATATAAATTTGACTCAACAAATAATTCAGGGCACAACAATAAGGCTATAAATTGTAAATTATTTAAAAGAATGCATAAAATTTTTATCAAACCTGTTTTTCATATCCAACTGGTCTTGACCCACTTGAAATGAGCTGCCTACTTCTGTCTATGTATGTTCTTTCATTCAAAAGATCATTGCCTTGTTTAGCATCTTCTAATCTTACTCCAGCCCCCTGAAATGTCACATCAAGATTTAGAATTAAGTACATTACAGGATATATTATAAAGGATATAATAATTAATTTTTTGATATTCACAAACTTGTTTCTGCCAACCAGCACAAATTGCTTCCTTGATAGCATGTTTAAAGCTCATGTATGAAATGTGCAGAAGTTTGACTGCAGAGTCAGATGCATCCCAACCTGGTCAAAGATCCAACAGTGTAAAGACAATAGGGCTAATTTCCTGCAAAGATGTGAAAGAACAATATCTGGACTATCAATAAGTAATTCAGTGGCCAGTAATGGGCTAAGTAAATCAGTGTAAATAGGACACTGATTGAACTGCCTATCTTCTAAATAATCAATGACAACAAAAATTTAACATAACTATGCAGTGAAAATAGAAACCTTGGAAAGGACTCCATGAGCAACTAAAACATAAAACCATGTTTCAAGTCTTAAGTGCCTCAGGGTAGATCATTTTCTGCAAAAGTTACACCAGGTGTTGGAAAGGCAGTTAGCTGATTCAAGAAACCAAACAAAATGAGCATTAGCCATTCTTTTCAGTAACAAACACAAGGTGCTACATTTAATTAAGGTAATTATGAAAAAACAAACACCTATACACCACAAATCAGGAAGTACCTTTCTGCCAGTTATAGTTAAAAAAAAAGAGAGAAAGATGACAGGAGAAGCATCT